AAAAAAAAAAAAAAAAAAAAAAAAAAAAAAAAAAAAAAAAAAAAAAAAAAAAAATCATTTTATATGCATGTTCTTTATTTTTTATATCTATTGCTAGAATTATTGATGTTGTCTTCCTATTTACTTTTTATGTATAATGAGCACATTAACAGAAGCCAGCAGTGCTATAATCTATTTAAATTTGACAAAGTAGGCGTCTGTGGTCACTGTTCTCGCATAGTGGCCAAGAGAATAGGTATCATAATGCCACTCAGGTGTTGCATGAGCATCAAAAATACTTTCAAGCTGGCTTAATTGGAGAAGCAAGGGGGACTAACCATAGAGTATCTTTTGGGCTTCGAGTCAGTGCTCGAGTGCTGAAGTACTTGGAAGCTGGTTTAATTAGAGAAAGAAGGGTGTTATCTACTTATATTAGTTTACTTCGACTACGAATAACTCATCAGCTTATTATTAAATATTGCCATAGTTCAGTAAATTTCAGTGATACTGATCTTGGGATCTCATACTTTTTGGATCCTATTCTTGTTGAGGATTGAGGATTACTGGGAGTGAGTCCCACATTGGTTAATTTAGTGGAAGATCATGGGTTTATAAGTGAGGAATACTATCTTCATTGGTATGAGACCTTTTGGAGAAGCCTAAAGCAAAGCCACGAGAGCTTCCACTCAAAGTGGACAATATCATACCATTGTGGAGAGTCGTGTTCGTCTAACATGGTATCAGAGTCATGCCCTAAATTTAGCCATGTCAATAGAATCCTCAAATATCGAACAAAGAATTGTGAGCCTTGAAGGTGTAGTCAAAAGTGACTAAAGTGTCGAACAAAGGGTGTACTTTGTTCAAGGGCTCAAGAGAAAGGAGTCGAGTGAGCCTTGAAGGTGTAGTCAAAAGTGACTAAAGTGTCGAACAAAGGGTGTACTTTGTTCGAGGGCTCCAGAGAAAGGAGTCGAGCCTCGATTGAGGGGAGGCTATTCGAGAGCTCCATAAGCCTCAAGGGAGGCTTATAGTGTACTTTGTTCGAGGGGAGGATTGTTGAGGATTGAGGATTATTAGGAGTGAGTCCGACATTAGTTAATTTAGTGGAAGATCATAGGTTTATAAGTGAGGAATACTATCTCCATTGGTATGAGGCCTTTTGGGGAAGCCCAAAGCAAAGCCATGAGAGCTTCCGCTCAAAGTGGACAATATCATACCATTGTAGAGAGTCCTGTTCGTCTAACAATTCTCAACTTCTGGGGTTTTATAATGTCATTACATGGTGAGTTCTCAACTTCTGGGGTTTTATAATGTCATTACATGGTGAGTTCTCTTGTAATGACCAGTAATTATTTTCTCATTGCAGTGTAGTGACGAAATATCACAATGATCCTCGTACCATGCAGCACATATCCAAGCATTTTTTTTATGAGGAAGTGTTTGACGATTCAACCTTGGACCGGCCAAAAATAAGGTGGCGTTATCGAAATTTCTTTAGTGACGATGTTGCGCATGCTCAGAGGACGCATTACAATGACCCTAAGGACAACTTGCATGGAAACCACCATGATTCATCCAACCGCGATTCCAATCCTAACCAGAGTGATTCCTATGGTGACCCTGATGACAAAGGAAATGCTTTTGAGTTCACGCCAGTCCTTGTAAGTGCAATTATTCAGTTTCTGCCCCTCTGACTAATACTTCTTCAATTTTTTTATGATTGTTTACTCAGTTTCTGCCTTTATATTTCAAAAAAGAATTGTGTGCTATACTGATCAAAACACAAGGAAATCTTGTATAATCCAAGGAGGCACCAACCTGTGCATCCCATGATTTTCATTGTGCGAATTTTTTCATTATTACATAATTGGGCATCAATTTGGGTAGAATTGATCTTAATGTTATAATAGTTACGTGGATCATAAACACTGGAATCTGAATTCAAAATTTGGATGTACAAATATCAAAAACTGTGTTCCTTCCATGCTTACGAACTTCAACTAAGCATCCTCAAAATCATGTAATTATAAATTTCCTAGAGTTGAAAAGTATTTACCAGAGATGCAAGGAAGTATCTTCATGGTTCTCCACAAGTTGCCTTGCACCAAAGGAAATTAAATGCAGTTTATTCAAATGGGATGATTCACTGGTCGTTTGTCTATCGTTTTGTCTGATTTGAACGTTTGTTATATGCAGACTAAGCCGGGCGCTGATGCTGCTACTGCAGACCCTCTAGATTACATTTTTGGTACATTGACAAGAGAAGAAGAAATTCAACACTCTAGTGCCTCTAGTCCATCACCCAAATCTCACCATCGCAGTAAAAGATACAATCGTCGGCATCGAAGACATAACCAGACAATGCCAACAGACTTTGAACATGTGTAATTTCAGGTTCTATTCATTCAAAGAAGTTTAAAGAAAAAAAAAAAAAAGGAAACTTTTCATTGAAGAAATAAAAAAAAAAGAAGACATTTTTGTACCTAATAATGCAGTTGAAGGAGGAATCTTAGACATATTTATGCACCTCGAGTGCAATGTTGTTATTTGCCAATCATAGGAAGAAAAAATGTTGTGAAATCGTTTCCACCAGGGTCTTTTATGGTTCCTGACCATTACTGAATTGATGGCCTGGATATCCAAAGAAGCCATAGCCATCCATAGTGCATGGTCTAACGGAGCACTTACAGAGACAATGATCATGAAGCAGTAGCGTGGTATTTCAGAGAACGCGGTTGTGGTTGAAGGTTGGAAACTCCAATCTCTTTTCCATTTGCTCAATTTTCTAATCTTTGTTTTTTCAGAACGTGTGGCGTGATGAAGGTCCTACACAAGCAAGACGACTAGGAATACGCGTCAAGATGGTAAATGCCTCTGTTGTCTTACCTTTAATCCTATAATAACCAACTAGAAGCTTCATGATTCTTTCCCCCTTTTTTTAGTGGTTCTGGTTGAAAGATACAAACCCATTAACTATGACATAACCAACGTTTTTTTCTCTCATTTTTTGTGGTGGGGGTGTGGGGGAGCTTAGATGAGATGCTTTTTGTTAGTACCCATCCCTTTTAATCTTGTTATTTTGTGGTCAAAATCTTTGTTGGGTTCTGAGACTGAACAATGGAAAGAAAAAGGGGTGATTTTAAAATCAAAATTGAAGCTTTTTATCAATTTGGGATCTTAAGCTTGATTGCAGCCCATAATCCCTACTATTTTCTCCTCTTTTTAATTCAAACCTAAGGCTTCAATCGTTCGAGTTTGGCATGTAGATGTAAATATTGTAGATATAAGAATTTATTGTTCTCTCTTTTTGAAGAACAATTTTTTCTTTTTGTAACATTTTTGTTAAACAAGGTTGGAATGTTACTTATGGATCATTATTCCTGTGGACGATGGTTTGATTGCTAAAATTTTGTTGATTTAAAGTAAAGTTCGGCTCCTGAATTGACCGATATTTTATCAATATTTTTAAAAAAGAATGAAACTTTTAAGTTTTTGTTTATTTGATTCTAAACATTAAAAAATGTCTAAAACTTTAAAAATTTTGTCCCATATAAACTTTAAGCTCTTGGTTCAGTCGGTCTTTCATCTTTCAGTTTTGTATTTAATAAATTTATGACATATTCAATTTTGTCAAGAATACATAAAAAAAAGAATAATTGATCTGTTATCTAAATATTTTAATTTTAGTTTAATAATAGACACAAGGGAAAGTTTACAGTTTTTAAATTTTAGAAAATATAAAATTCAAAAATTTATTACATGAACCTATTAAATAAATTTTAATAGAAAGATAATGGATTTTATTGTAATTTAACTTTTATTTTTTACCATAAGACGTTAAGTACTATAAATATTAAAGTTGAAAAACTTAATTATTATAAATTGTAAAAACCTTAATTATATGAATTTTAAATTCTCTCAATAAAGGAAATATAAGCGAAGGTATAAAATTTGAATAAACATAAATTTTATACAGAAGTTATCCACCTGTAATTTGCCGACTTTGTAATTTCGTCAAAATTAAAGGTTGAATATAGAAATTAAAAATTTTAATATAAATAAATAAATAAAACTTTCCCTTCCTTATGTGCTGAGCGATTCTCTCCGGTCTTCATCTCCTTCCTCAAATGCCTTTCTCCTTCCTTCCTTTCGATTCCATCTCTCAATTCTCTGAAATCCCTCGATGAATTTATTCCCTTTTTCAGTCCCCATTTCCGAAGATTAGGGTTCTTATACCAATTCCGTTTCTATTTTGTTTTCACTCAAACAAATTCGTTTGATTTCTCTATGATTCTCCCCTTCCCTTCTCTCAACGCCAATTCCATCCAGATTTCTAGGGCATCTTTGATTTCCCTATTGATTTTGGTTCTGGCCCTCGTCGCCTCTTCAGAACCCATTGCGAGTGTCGAGGAGCTCGAAATCAACACCACCACCGCCATGAAGGTCCACCCATTGCCAAGGAAGCGCAATATCGCCGTTCGGAATAACCCCAATTCGAGAAACTCCCTCGAAGATCAATCCCTTCTGAACCACAAGAAACTCAGGAGATTACCTCATGTCTTCAGTCGAGTCCTCGAGCTTCCTTTTCGATCTGATGCAGATGTTTTGGTTGAGGAGAATCCTGATTGTTTCCGATTCATTGCTGAAACTGACGGTGACATAAGCGATGGAGTTAGGGCTCATGCTGTGGAAATCCATCCAGGGGTTATTAAGATCGTTGTCCGGGAAACTGCGTCGTTGGAAATGACAATGGATGAGCTCGAATTGGACATGTGGAGGTTCCGGCTACCGGAGACGACGCGTCCAGAGCTTGCGAGTGCGGCGTTTGTTGATGGAGAGCTTATAGTTACTGTTCCAAAGGGGAATGAGGAGAATTCTGATGATGGTGGAGGAGATATCTGGGGAGATGAAATGGAAGGTCGGCTTGTTCTTGTACAGTAATTTAATCCTTACCCTTTTTTCGTTTTTGTACTAACTGTTGAAAATTTCCTTCTTCAACATTATTATATGTCGTTCCAGATTTCCTGTTAGCTTCCCTTGTTGAATCTCTGTTTATCCCTTGTCTCAAACATAAACATAGAACTTAAAAACGTAATACTCAACTCTTTTGAACTCCTTTTCCTCTCTCACCATTATTATAACCTGATTTCAAATTTGGGCTTTCTTTTAGGCTAATGTTTATATCAGAATTGTTATCTGTTGGGTTGAATGAAAACAACTGATAACTGGTGGGATGGTTAAGATAAGAAGCTGTTTTCATACTCTCTTCCTTTGCTTTCATTTCTTAATGGCCTGTATACTGTTCCTGAGGGTTGATTGTTGCTTTAGTGGTTTAGCCATTTTGTATTATATTTCCATTGCGTGTACCTCGAACAATTGTCCTTCTATGTGATTCCGAAAGTATTGCTTCTTTTTCTTGTTCATTTATGGGTCCCTATGTGTGGCCATGGGCTCCTTACTTTTCATGCGGCACTTTTCATGCTAGCTAGCCATAGATACCGTAAAACCTTCTTTTAAGCCCTTTTTCATATCTGCCACGTTTAAGTTGACCAATTTTTATTCCTAAATCCCAAGTGTTTGCTTATTCTCATTCCTTAGATCTCCTTTTTTTTTTTTTTTTTTTTT